TTTTGTAAGGAAAAGGATGGAACAAGTATATATATGTATTACATAGTAAGCATACTTATTATTAAATTTGTTAAAAATTTTTAAGAGATAAATTGCAAAATCTGATTCTGTATCAACAATAATTTGTATGTAAAGAATAAGAAGGTAAGATAAAGATAAAATATAAGATAAAAGATAAGAAGCTAGAAGATAGAATAAAGCTTATAAAGAAATATTAGTTCTCCAAATCGTCTCCGAGGATTATTACAGTTTTGAATGGTTCGTTTTTTTTAGAAGAACTAATAATAATTTATAAGCTTAAAAACAGTAATTTCATTTTAAAATCAATTATATATTTTATTTTTTACAATAGTATTATAAAATAATAACAAAAAAGTAACGAACCATTACTTTCTTAGTACTAATAACGTTGACAAGTTATTTTTCAAAATTAGTAATAGTAACGAATGTCTTTTTATAAAAAATAACGGTAATGATAACAATAACGCATTACTTTTTGGATGTAACGTTCCCAATTAAATCTAACTTTGGAGATATCTATAAACGTCTTTTGATAACGTTTTAAAGATATTTAAAAAAAATATTTTATAAATACGTATTTTAGATATGCGTGAGAGAGAGAAGAGTTGTCTGGGTTTTTATTTCCATTATAAAAATCCATAAAAATCATCATCTCTTCGGGGTAATATTCCAGTATACAGTGACAGAATACGATGGCGAAGGTAGCCAAGTATTCAGTTTCAGCATGCAATTCTCGGACATAGAGTATCGGCTTTCACGAGTTTCTTCATATTGCATCCCATGTACTGTTGTTATCGGAATGTTTGGAAAGATGTGAGAAGTAAGCTGGAAATAATAAAAAATAGGGTCGATGCTCCATTTGTGACCACTTTAAGGATTTTCGACGAAATAAACGCGTTTTAATTAAATTCTTTTCGTTATCTAATGCCTTTAATTATTTTAATATATTTTTAAAGATCTTTAAATAATAAATGTAAGACCGATAAACAAAAATAAATTAAATACATTTTTAAAAAATAATACTTATATCATAATTTCCGATTTCACCGATTTTAGTCACCATATCACCAGTTCTTGCCATAATAAGTGGTTTGTTCTGGTCACGTAATGAAATTGAGATTAATTTATAATAAAACAATTAATAAAAAAGTATATGCAATAAAAATCATGGTTTAATGTTAATATCTTAATGTTAATATTTATTTTCAATAAGATATATATATATATATATATATATATATATATATATATATATATATATAT